GGAATATTAGAAATACAGGATGGAGAAGCATGCTTTGTGAGAAAAAGGAGGAAAATCAGGAAAGAGGAGGGAGAGAAAATTTGTAGAGGTTGGAGAGAAGGAAAATAGAGACAGAAGAGTGAGCGGAGGCAGAGAGTTGTTAGCAGAGCCCAAAAAGTAAGTGAAGGACAAATAAGGGAGCTGGGCAAAGAGCGATTGGGAAGGAGGCACAGCAGGGGAAGCAAAGGAAGAAAGGAGGTGTCCTGGTTTTCGCTGGGACAGAGTCAGCTCTTCTTCTTAGCAGCTAGAAGAGCTCCATGTTTTGGTTTTACTCAGAGGCTCGCTCTGAGAAGAATGTTGACAGCGCACTGATGTTTATAGTTAGCACTGAAGTCTCAAGAACTTTTCAGCTTGCCGTGTTCTTGCCAGTGTGCAGGAGCACAACAGGATAAGGGGGGAGCATAGCCGGGACAAGGAGACCACGACTCTCCTTACGATTTGTACTTGGACTTAGGATTGAGGGCCAAACTGGCCAATTAGTATTTCATATCATGCAGCGTCATGCCCAGTATAAAAGTGACGGTCAGCCGGAAAGAAGGGCGTTTGCCTTTCCAGGACTCTCAGTTTCGGGCTCTCGGATTGTCTTCTCTCTCTCTCGCTCTCTGTCTCGGGGCCTCCCGTTCATCTGGGATTGCAATATCGAGTTTTATCTGTTTCGGGATTGCAGCTTCAGGATGAGACGGGCCTCGGTCAAGGGGTGGTGAGCAATTACACCATACATCACTCGTTTGTATATATTTATCCTTGTACATATCCGTACATACATATATATATTGGTAGTGGTAGTAGTAAATTGTTCTTATCTCAACCCACGGGTCTCTTTTCTTTTTTCTTCTTTGATTCTCTCCCTCATCCCTGGGGGTGGGGGAGTGAGCGACTGTGTAGGGTTTGGTTGCTGGAGCGGCCTAACCCACGACAGGAGGGTTTAAAGTGATGCTGAAAGCTTCACCTTACCAGTTCCCACTGGCATTTCTGAGCAAGTAGCCCTGTGTTTCAGTACCTTTCCCCTACTGTGTCTGCTGTGCCAGCACAAACACAGTGTGGGGGCAGCAGCTGGGTTACCAAAATGGCCCATGACTGAGTCATCCACACCCACTCCAGAGCACTACATGGGCTATGCTGGCTGCACAGCCTGGAGGGTGAAGAGGGAAGGCTGACAGGTGCTTCCACCAGCGCAGCTCAGCAGACAGGTTCCAGGCCACTGCTCATGCCCAGTACACTAAAACATGGGCTAAAAGGGTCCAACAGCACCACTGTGGGCACCTTCCTCTGCTACCTGGAGCACCTGTGGCATCCAGGTCAGGGCTGAGTGATAAAGCCAGTTCTCCTCCCTTCCAAATTGTGGGAGGCTTGGAGAAACGCTGTTTGCCACAGCCTCCGCTACGTGCTTGGGGACTAGCACAAGGGGGAAGAAAACTTGTCCAGAAAACACTCTTTGCAGGTTCCCCTCATGCAGATGCAGGAGCTTTAGAACGTGCAAACCAGCAGATGCTCTGCACTTGCTGCCTGCGAGGTCCTCGCTCCTCACACCAAGTCTGTGCTGCTGCCTTCCAAAGAAACATCCCTTTTACCACACCGCCCCTTTGGAGCCAGAATGAAGCACGACGCCTGCACTCTGATGAGCAACGTGCTGGCAGCATCTGACGTCTTTGCCACCAAACTGCAAGGCAGTGGGGGGCAGATGTGGGCAGCATCTGAGGCACATCTCTCACCTCCCGTACGTTTCGAGATCCCGACTCTCTGAAGGAAGGTTTGCAGCGGAAATTTATCTGTAGATTGAACACACATGACAGGAATCAGTAAAACCATCATACCTGAAGGAAACCTACTGCAGTTCACTTTACTACAGCAGGCCCAGAGCCTCCGGAGGTGTTCAGTGCTTGCCCTGAAACCCCTCACATATCTCTGTTACTGAACAAAACGGGTCCTGGGGTCTCAATCATGTCACTAGATACTCCTTTTGGTATTGTCTCCTCAGAAGACCCCTCTTTGCAACAACACATTGCAGTTCCCCAGACTTCTTGTGTGTCACTACCCCAGAGGAAGGGCTGCCCAGGAAAAGGATATTACAGCTTTATGAGCCACAGAGGGCTTCAGAGGCCCTACTCACTTTCTCCAGCTGTTCGATGCAGGGCGTATGCACTACGATCTTGCAGGCTGCACATTTACGCCTGGAGAGAGGTTTTTGCTGGAGGATGAGAAAAGGGGAGGAAAAACACACATGTTAATAGCAATGTTTGGAGGCTGGCAAGCTCAGCCTCCCATCACACCTCCTTCTTTCTATTTCAGGATGCAGAACAAGTCCTGTAGGAAAGTTCGACACAATCTAGACTCCTTGCAAGTGAAGGAATCTAAGCACATGCCCAGAGCAGATGCTCTCGAGTCTGGGTCAGAGCAGGGAAGTGCTCTCCTGCTGTCCTGTCCTATAGTCCTTGGCCTCTTCTGACAACGCCTGAGAGCATCATGGAAGCTGGTCTGGAAGGGACCTGCAGGGCTCCCCTGCTAAGCCACATGGGCAGGCACAGGACAGCATTAGTGCTCCGTGTCCTGCAGCACAAGCAGGACTAAGCCTGTAAGCTGGGAGAGAGGACTGCAGCAACCCTGTAAGATCAGTGCTGTCTGCAGGGTCAGGAGGAGGCAGGCCTGGGCCTCCTGTGCTCACTCTTCTCCTCTATTGAAAGGTCTTGGATTCAGATTGTCCCTCTAAGGGTGTGGGATCCCAACAGCTTCTCCCTAGAATATCATCATATCACCTCTGGGTGAGCAGCAACCCTGTGTCAGGTTCCCATTGCGAACTGAGCACCAGCACTGGCAGAAATAGGGGACGCAGCACTCCAGCATCCAGAGGCAGGAGGGACACACTCCCCACCTTGGCCGCCCCACATGTCCCCAGCAGCAGCAGCAGCAGGGCCTTCGTGGTGTCCCCGGTGGGTGGCAGCACAGCCCGCATCTGTGGCCCTTCTCGAGGAGGCGAGTGACCTCAGGTGACTCACCAGCAGCTTTGCCATACAGTTCTGCTCCCCAACGTAGCAGAAGTCCCCAGAGACATTGGTCTCAAACCAGATGTGCTCCCCATAGACTGCAGTCTCCTGAAAGGCACAAGACAACACGTTTTTCTGAGAACACCCTCCAGATGGGCTTCTGAGCCACTAAAACACTTTGTGCAAGGGACAAGATACTGGACAACGTTGAGGGGTGGGAGGTTGAAGCTAGGTGTAGACAGAGAGGAGGCATAAGGGCAAATTCAATGCAGGGGACTCTCCTGAAACAGCTTCTGTTTACGACCTCAGGGTGCAGCTTAAAATCTGCCAGGCTTTGCTTGCGAAGGAGCAGGGGCTGCTGCTTAGCTCCAGCCACCAGAAGACCTTGGCTGCCAGGAGCAGAAGAGCTGGCAGTGGAGCAGCTATGCCATCCTCCCAGGAATCATCTGTGCCTGCACAGCCTCTCCCTACAGCATCAAAGGGTGCTGCCAGCAGCACAGATGCTGGCACCAGCTGGTGGCAACAGTGAAGGCCATAAATGTGTCAAAGTCAAAGTCACCTGGGAAGCTTCAGCCTGGAAAGAGCCTGCTGCTTCTTGGCCAGGAGCCCATTCCATGTGACACCCAGCAAAACGTGCTACAACTTACGCTCCAGTCCACAGTGCTGCGTATCTGCCTCTCTGAGTCGCTCCTCAGGGCTAGTGCAGGGTTTGGCTGGGCTACCATGTGCTGGAGGCTGGACTTGGCAATAGCTTTCCTGGAAGACACAGGAGGGCTGGCTATTAGATCGGGGGTGGGGGGGGAGGAATATGGGCAAAGCACAACCTGCTTCTAGAACGGACAGTGAGTCTGGAGCAGAGAAGCATCCTCAGGACCAAGTGGCTGGAAACAAGGTGAATCTCCAGCACCACTGGTCAAGGAGTATCTGCTCCTACAAGGCAGCCCCGTACGACGAAGAGGTGCTGGCCACATTGCTGACAGCTCAGCTGAAGACACCTTGCACCCAGCAAAAGACACAGCCTGGGCCTGCTGGGTCAAAGACCTCAGAGATGACAGGGCGACTGCAAAACGGCCTCCACCAAGCTGTAATAGTGGGGCTGCCTTTGCAGGGACAATCCAGAGCCCCTACCCCACAGAGGCTCCCTGCAGCTCTCCCATACCAAGGCACCTTGGAGCCTGGGGTGTTTTCGAGGACCAGTACAACCGGTTGGAAAAAAAGCATCTGCTTGTTTGGGGCTACTGAGCTTCTCCCAGATGTGGCAGGGTGGGGGAAAGGAGCAGGGGAGCTGGCCAGCTGGAGAAAACGTGCACCTCCAGCCACGGCCAGGCCTGGCACCTCCCTCTAGCCCCAGGCTGGCAGGAGAGGACGCCTGCAAGCCCCGGGGGCTGCACCGAGAGCATCAGAGGCAGCTCTGGCTGGAGTGGGAGAATCTCAAGGGATGCGAGCAGCACTGCAAGACACCGACGCAGCCAGGGCCAACAGTGCTGAGGTCCTTCCC